GGACCGAGCCTCCTCCTTGCCGCACTGCCAGAAAACCATTGCTCTCCCTGGAGAAAAATGGCATGCATCGGCGCATTCACACACAGGAGGGGAGGGAGCTTCGCCCCTCGTCGGGCGCTGCGAGCGAGCCGAGCGGAGAGAGGGAAACCACTGCCCTTTAAAGGCCACATCGAGAATGACACTTCAGAGAAATAAAAACTTTTTTTTTAACGGCATCCTTTTAAAAATTGTTTTCTTTCTTTTGGAAAATCAGGACTTTTTGAACACGCTGCGGGACACGGGACAAATTATTAAAACTCGTGACTGTCCCGCCAAAAGTGGGACATCTGGTCACCTTATCCTAGTAGCTTTAATTATTGTCAATTACAGCATTCTACTGGACTTCCTACAAAAATGGCAGGTGGAATTAACACATCAGTTGTTCCATTTCTACTTGAGTTGGTGGCTAAAGTTATTAGGGCAGTTAGCTATGGATCTAACCATCTGGCATTCTGCTATGGACTTTAGCCTTGTGGCCCAGAACTCAATCCTTTCTCCATCCTATTTAACTTCTACATAAAGTCATTGCAGAAAGTATTTTGTTGGTTCAGAATATGGTATCATTAACATGCTGATAACCAATTGTTCATCTTTATTCTGGATCCAATGAAGATGCATTCATAATGGAGAAAATTGCATGTTTGAAAGGATTCTAAAATTTTCTATTTTAGAGAATTCTCTATTATGTGGCAACAAGTCTACCCTTGTAATTTAGAAGAATCGTTTCAGTTGTGGGCAAAGATTGATCCTATAAGGGGAGACAATCGAAATCAGTCTCCAAAGGAAATACATGGGAAAGTATAGCTGTTAATGATCAAGGCTGTCTGTCAAGGACATGAAAGATCCATCTAGACTAGAATAGTGTCTAATCAATTAGCTTTTTCTTCTGTCCCTGGGCTATATTAAGATATTAGAACAAAGGAAGGAAAACAATCTCAAATAGCATCAATGATTGCCTTTTGTTAGCTATATTCCCTGAGTATTTGTATTTGCTTCTGATATGGCTTTGTTCCAATTAAATTACATTAATTAATTAACTAATTAATTAAATTACTTTATTTTGTGCCTTTTCCCTTTATAAAAACTTTCTATTCCTTTTTATTGTCAGTATATTACTGAATTTAAATTTTTTTATTCCTTGTATATTGTTTTGCTTACAGGAATAAATTGTTCCCTTAATTAAAAAAAATATGGTTTATGTTTTGGAAATATATAAGCATTTAGCAACAAAAACAAAAGCTGCAGATTTTGAATATATGTCTTATTGTAAGCATTTGTTATATCCATGCTATTCAAGGATAGCATTTTGTTGTGGACTTTAACTATTTAGATATTTACAACAACTATCCCAAATCATAATTTGAATAGGGCTATTTTTGATTTTCTCTTAAAAAGAAATTGTGATCCATAAGCACATTCAGAGCAGTTTTTGGAATCACTTTATTTAGCTCCAGAAGCACCTGCAATTTCTTAAAAATTTCTTTCATTGAAGACTATTTTAAGAGCTGAGTTACCTGAACAGCAACATCATGCACCTCATCTCTTGCTAAACTGCACCACTGTGGTATACTTTTTGGGTTATGCAAGGGTCTCTCTCGCTCTCTCCCTCCCTCTCTCTCTCTCTCTCTCATTTTCCAGTGAGAAAACATTACAAATGCATCTCTTTATTTACAGGCTAAAGTAATAGTCAGACAACTGATATAAGGATGCTGATTGTGTTTTCTGTAATTTCATTAGAAGATGGGCAGGAGATGAGGTTGAATACTTTCCAGTTTTTGGGGAAAAACTAGCAGTGCCTGCTAATATAAATAACAGGATATTTACTGAAACAATCATTTTCTTTCTTATATTGTCCTGTATATGAATATTTTAATAGCCTAGCTTGATTTGTGGAAATAGCTATTCCATTTAACAGAGTAAGGGATTATGCTGCTGGATGGTACGAAATTTTGAAAATATAGCTTCAATGGCTTGGTCAGTTGAATTATCAACAATTGCACACATGTTTTCTTACAGACTCACACTCTATTCCTCTGTTTGCGGAATTGTCTTCACCTCCTGAAGCCTACAAATGGGAAAGTCTGCAGAACTTCTCTTATTTTCATTAGTAACTATCTGTTCTACAGGTAAGAGTTTCTTTGATCATCCAGATCTAGATAGGCATAAGGACTGGTCTAATGAATGCTAGTTAACAAAATTATTTGTATTTTCATCTTATTATTCAGGACATTAAGTTATATAAGAAAGACAACTCAACTAATATGAACTTTCACATGTGTACCTTTCAAATCATATACTTATAATGAAGCTTAGATATGTCTGCATGCAGAATTTATAAAGCCATTTGTAATGATTTTTTTTTACTAGGGAGGAAAACAAAAATGAAAGAATCATACATATGGTTTTTTACTACATTGTACTGTATGTCAACCTTACTAGAAAAAATGTCTTTATTTTTTGGGGGGTTACATAGAATTTTTCTTAAAATGCCATTATTTATCTGTTCATGATATTATAAATATCAGAATCATTTTGCATTTTCTGTCCTTCACCTAATGCACAAATCTTTGCTTTTTAATTGAATTCAAACAACAGTATTCCTGATAGAAGCTTCACGCTATGCTTTAAAAGGTTGATCTCTCAATGGGAAGGCATTTCATTTCAGATGGCTGAGAATTAGATAATGCTTTGGCGCTAATTCGTCATCTTGGGAGAGGCAACTTCTCTGTCGCTTATAAATATCTAATTACATTTTAATGTTTTGGGGTCTCTTGGGAAGGTAGTTGGCCTAGATCAGGAGGCAATTAGCTTGCGTAGAAGCTAGTCTGGCCCACATATGTCAATGACATCAAGGCAATGCTAGGAGGTTTCTCTGTTAACCAGCTAAATTTAGGAGGCTTCTTTTTTTGTATTCAAGCAGAGACCATAAGGATTAATTCATTTACAAAGCCCTACAGGAGCACTTTCTAATGGTTGATAATGTATGATATAAAAGATTAGTATAATGATGGCCAGAAGGCTGGAAATACAGGGAGCATGAAAAGGAGCCAGTCAGAAGAAAAGCCACCGATTGATCCCATTGGGAGATCAACCTTTTTGAGAATAAAAATATGGATTTCTAAAAATACCTAGATATTTTCATCAATGTCAATATTATTTTCTATACGTGAGCCCAGGTCTTCTACAAAGCTGAGTTGCTCCAGAAGCCTTCTTCCTCTCCTATCCTAAGCATATATACAAGGCTATCCCAGCTGCAGAAAATAAAAGATGAACTGTTCTAAAAAGCGTGGTTCTTCATCACTTGCTTGGCAGCATCTGGAACTGAAGGGACTGTTGCTCAGATCTGGCTAACCACAAATTTCTCTGCAGTGCTATATAATGCCCCAAAACTGAAGCAATAGGACCATTATTCTTATGTAATACATTGACAACACTATCTAATAAACCTCATGCGAAATAATTGTTAAAAGACCTTATAAATAGATCTGAATAAGTGTCTCAGAAAAATGTTGAAGGCAAAGCTAATTTAAGTTATCCCCATCCTTGTGTACTTTACTGAAGCTCAATATGCTCTATTCTGATTTTCTGCTTTCTTTGCCATCTGGAGGTAGGCCAACCTACCTATGATCAATTGGAATTGTGTGTAGTATAGGATTTGTTTCCAAAGAAATACCTTGCAGCCATATAGCACAATCCTAATGAGGCTTCCTCAGCTGCACAGACCTCTGGTTTCAGCAGGACTTGTTCTTATTTAACTGCATAGCATTGTAGTCTTAACTACTGAATATACTTTCCTGTTTTTGGTACTAGGATTTCTGCTATTACTATTTTAAAATAGCATAGTTAGTGGCAGCACCTATTTTGTATATTAACACTTACGTATTAGAAACTTTATATATGCTTGAATGATTCAGTTTGATGAAGAGAAAATGCTTTGTCTGCAGCTCCTTTATTTTTAAGCAACCAGGACTAGTTGATGGAATTGTTTCATGCAGATAGATAAGAGCCTTCTTCCCCAATGTATCAGATTCCTGAAGTTTTTCACTATGTAGGAAGACATTAACAAATACATCTCATTAACTCATTTAGTTCTAAGTTTTATGTTACTTGCTAATTGTTTTTTTAATTGAGATACTACTAAAACAGGGCTGAAAAATTTCTATCCCTCCAGATGTTACTGTACAATTTCTAACATTCCAATTTCCCAGCTGGAGCTGCTGAAAACTGCAATTCAGCAACATCTGAAGCACACCAGCAAAACTATTTCATCTTCTGTACTTAGATAGAAGTACTCTACATACTCTTCCTCATTCATAGCATATGTTAGCCTTTAGTAGTGCCACAGATCTGAGTTTATGCTTTAACGCAGTGTTTCTCAACCTTGGCAACTTGAAGATGTCTGGACTTCAACTCCCAGAATTCCCCAGCCAGCGAATGCTGGCTGGGGAATTCTGGGAGTTGAAGTCCAGACATCTTCAAGTTGCCAAGGTTGAGAAACACTGCTTTAACGATACAATAGATATAACTAGAAAAAACAAGACATGACCATGAGAGATTTCTGCCATACGGTCTCAATATTTGCTCTATAACAGGGGTGTCAAACTCATGTCACAGCATCATGTGATGTATCAGGACTTTTTCTTCCTTCGCTAAACCCGGTGTGGGCGTGGCCAGCATATGATGCATCTGGCCCACGAGTTTGACAGCCCTGCTCTATAAGAACCTAATAACATCACAAGTGCTTCATAAAGATAACAAGCATTGCATTCTTAACCAAATGCATGTTATTTTGGCATTTTATTTAATGCCTTGAAATCTCAGCTACAAATCCTAGTCTTTCTGCCCTTTTCACAACTCCAATTCATAGAAATTATAGGAAAAGATGAGGCCAGTAACAAAAAAAAACAAAAAAAAAAACAGGGAGGAAAAGTAGATCTTGGTTTTTCTTGCTTAACAAATATACCATTGATATTTAGAGGCAGAAATCTGAGTTTAACAAAAATGGCTTTTGAATGTGCAATTATCATGAATTATTTATTGAATTCTATGTACTCTTTAGCCAGTCCTCCCCCGCAACCAAAAAAACTTGAGTACATCTGCTTTTAGCTTTTGAAATGTCATTAGAAGATGACAATCTTCCTAAGCCAATATCCCATCCTTTGTTCCATCAGCGTCAAGGACAAGACCATTTCCAGCTGAGATAGGATAAGTATGCTTAAGAGGGAGCAAAAGGTCCTGCAATTATTTTAATTAACCCAGCAATGCTTTATTATCAGCATGTGGATGTGTATATCTTGCTAACTTACGAGAAGACAGATTGCTCAGGTTGATATGCAGAAGGCCCCACTTAGCGAGATGTATGTCTGATGTATTCCACACTGTCAAAGCACTTTCATTTACACATAAACATAAATGCATGAGATTTTTTCCTATATTCTTCATGGATGTAAGTGGAAGAGTAAAATAAAATAAGAATAAAATAAGTACCTGTATCCTTCTGGATTCCCCCCATCTGGAAGTCACTTTTGCATAAGATGCTATGGTTTATTGTTGGAAGTAAGAAGATGCAAACAACCAATTGGAGAATGGAATTTTAAATTTTTTAAAATTTCATTTCTCTGATGTTTTCTGTTCTGTGTGAATCAGGGAGTCCCATATGGAACACATGAACGTTTAACAGAAATTGGCTTCCAGTTGTTAATTCCAAAGGACAGAAAATACAAAATACAAAGAACAGCCATCTGATGAGATACAATTATGCAAGAGCTTGTGCTTCCTCATAATTTTTCCTTTTTCATGAAAGAAAAGTGGGGGATTATTAACAAATGCAGGTAGCTTTGTATGAAGTGCTCATTATTATCTTCTGTATTTGATTAAACTGTGTATAAATTAAAGAGGATTTTTTATATCTTCCTATATAGTCTGGATGTCAGCTGAGCCTATGATGAGAAGCTATGGGCCTGTCTTCGAAGAGCAGCCACACAATGTCCTTTTTCCAGAACGGTCAACAGAGGAGCAAATTTTGTTGGTGTGTCGAGCACGAGCGACTCCGCCTGCAAATTATAGGTGATGTCACTTCCAGCAGCTGCTTTGTTTAATGGAAAGAATAATTGCAAAGTCAGAGGGCATATTTTGTGTCAAATGGCACTATGTATCTTTGCCTAGGCTGCTAATAATGTGGACAAAGGCAAACATTTCATATTCCATTCAATTAAATGAAGAACTGAATATATCAGTAAAGCATAGTTAATTCTTTTTAGTTCATACCCGGGGGGATTTAATTACATTTAACATATAAGTAGTGCAAGTTTGTTCATTCCTCTGTAGAAGTAAACCAAATGTAGATTAATTGTGCTCGCTTCCAAGTAACTGAATCTGATGCTGCCTCTTTTATTTTAATTTGGCCCTGGCTTTTTTTTTTTTAAATATATTTTTGCTTAAGAACGTTCATTATAATACTAAAAACTAATTTAATTTTTTTTTGTATATCCAGTAAATTGCCCTTTTTCTCTTGGTTTGTCATTTGTATTTTCTGTACCTTGTCAGAGAAATCTCTTTTAAAGGACACTATGTTCGCAAACCTCATTTTCAAATCACTTTCAGAAATTGCCTGTTAAGTATTAGAAATCACCCGTGTTGACCTCTCATCATGTTTTGCAAAAGTATCACCTTTTGAACTAATATGTTTAATTTTATTTTTATACAGTATACATAATATAGTGTATGTAATAATCATAAAGCATTTTAAGCATATGGATGATTTACCAAGGTCTGCAAACACACTATTTGAAATGATGGTTTTCTGATCTGTGTGTGTGTGTGTGTGTGCGTGCATGCACATATGCATGCACACAGACACACACACACACACACAAAATGTGTCTATATATATAAGCTAACAACCAACTTCCCTTTCTGGACATCCTAATCTACAAAAAACCCAATGGCTCCCTAGGACACACCATCTACCGGAAAAAAACACACACCAACCGCTACTTAAACGCACAATCCCATCACCACCCTGCACAGATCAACTCTGTAGCCAAGGCCCTCATCTCCAGAACCAAACGCCTAGCTGACAAAGACCACCTGAAAACTGAATTGCACACTCTCACAAACATATTAATCTCCAACGGATTCCAAAGAAAAACAATTACCAACCTAATCCAAAAGGAGACTCCCCCCAAAAACTGAGAGACAGAACAGGACAACGGCATCACCCTCCTCCCTTACATCAAAGGCACTACAGATAAAATCAGCAAAATTCTCCATAAACACAATATCAACACAGCCTTCAACACTGACCAAAAAATAGCCAACATCTTAAGAAACCCCAAAGACAAGATCCATCTAGAAAACCAAGGAGTCTATGAAATACCATGCAAAATTTGCCCAGCCACATACATTGAACAAACTAATAGGAGAATAAATACACGCATCGCAGAACACAAGAATGCAGTCAGAAAAAAAGAAAAAACTTCCCCCTTTTCCAGCACCTTAAAGCAACAGGACATGAAATTGATTTTGAAGGAACCAAATTACTCTTCAAAACTGAACACTTCAACAAGAGAATAATTATGGAAGCTCTCAAAATAGAGAAACACCCCCACAACATGAATAAACGTGATACCTCCCACCTACCAGACATCTGGAAACTAGCCCAAGTCAATAAATGAGTCCCAGCCACAAAAACCAACACAGGACCCAGAACAACACAGGACACCATCACCAATCACCCTCATCAAACATCAATTCCATCAACCAATAAAGATGTGACAACACAGTCAATCAATCTGTTTAAAGCAACAAAGCCAACATTCTACACATCCCTACCGATATTTGTAGAAAAACGGCAACTCCGATCACGCTTTGCTCACACAAGCATGAAGCCAAAGGCACCAGCCTGAAGATGACGAGTGTGACCTCGTCGAAACGTTGCCAAGATACTGTCAATCTTACATGGGAAAATACCTGAATACGCCAAGAACGGTGTGTGTGTGTGTGTGTGTGTGTGTGTGTGTGTGTGTATTCATAGATTTTCACGGGTGTAGGTCTGCTGGTCTTATTGTATTTGGGTTTTTTCCCATGTAAGAGTGAGATTGTCTTGATAATGTTTCGACGAGGTCTCACTCGCCATCTTCAGGCTGGGTTTTGGGTTTAAAGTGTGGTCGGAGCTGCCGTCTTTCTATAAATCTTGGTGGGAGTGTGTGGAGTGCTGGCTTTGTTTCAGTAAGGGGCCTGGGTGGTGGGTGGGGCTCGTTTGTTGACTAGGGCTGGTTTCCAGATGTCTGGTAGGTAGGAGGTATCATCACGTTTATTCATGTTGTGGGGGTGTTTCTCTATTTCGATAGCTTCCATAATTTTATTCTCTTGTTGAAGTGGTCAGTTTTGAAGAGCAATTTGGTTTTGTGTGTGTGTGTGTGTGTGTGTGTGCGCGCACGCACGTGTGCGCACGCATGCACAAACACACACGTACACACATATATATGGTCTTGTTGTATTCCTGTGTAAGATTGAGATTGTTCTGGCAACATTTCGGTGAGGTCTCACTCGCCATCTTCAGGCTGGTGTTTTCAGCTTCGTGTTTGTGTGAGTAAAGCGTGGTCGGAGCTGCCGTCTTTCTATAAATCTTGGTGGGAGTGTGTGGAGTGCTGCCTTTGTTTCAGTAAGTGGATTGATTGGCTGTATGGTAGTATCATGATTAGTAAATTTGTGCTGATTGGTTCTGGCTGTGTGTCCATTGTTGTTTTGGGTTGTAATGGCCTGGGTGGTGGGTGGGACTCATTTGTTGACTAGGGCTGGTTTCTATACATACATACATACATACATACATACATACATACATACATACATACATACATACATACAGTGATCTTTTGAATGAATATGTGCTTGTATGTATATGTATGTATATGTACATGTACACACACACACACATACATTTATTGCTCAAGTTTTGCTCACCAATTGCAAGTCTGAGCAGCTTCCATAAGATTACAGCAAACAAGGAAAGAATCAACACCAATACCCAAATCAGTAGAAAGCAGAAAAACCTAGGTAGCAGAAAAAAATTGGAATCAGTGTGAATTTTCAGATATTCTAGCTTTGCTATTTATGAACAATGATGGATCCCAATCCCAATCTTGGTGCCACATATGCTTCTGGTTATGCTTAAATAATATTTAAGCACTGAGTTGGCGGTCTTTCATATTAAGAAAGTACAAACATAACTTGTCCAGTGTTTGACTGGGGTTTGATAGAAATAGACAAACAATATTTCCCATTCAACAACTATCTAACAATAGGCTCTATTGATCATTCAGGATAGTGCTAACATGCAACTGTGAGTCTTCTACTGTGTTCTCACTCCATCCCAATATTATTGTTTTTGGCAGGTGGAAGATGAATGGAACAGAGATCAAAATAGAGCCAGATTCACGATACAGGTTAAATGGTGGCAACTTGGTAATAAGAAATCCAGTGAAAGCTAAAGATGCTGGGTCCTACCAGTGCATAGCATCCAACTCAATGGGCAAAGTAATAAGTAGAGAAGCTTCTGTTCACTTCAGCTGTAAGTAATTTGTCCCATTTTGAATACATTCTCTGTACAAGAAGGAGAGCAGTGTCAAGAACTCTGCCACTTTATTTTACAGTTCCTCTTACAACCATGATATTAAATTTTTAGTCAAGATGCTGGAGACCTCACCTATTTTAAAGAATATGTAGATATAAATAAATCTCTTTTGGGGTACATGATTCTGAATATCAATGTAAAAATGTTGGGGGACTAGGAGACTACATGATGGCAGTTGCTGCCTTTTGCCATAAACAGGGTAAATACCAGTAGTAGTTAGATCTAAGGACTGTCTTCTTCCACATTGTTTTCTTTCTTTCGTAAAATCATGAGATGACACTGTGCATGAATTCTAACTATGCATGAGTTTTCTAGCATGGGAGTAGGCCCTATTTAATGCTTATCTTTGCTGCCTAGTATTTCTGATCCAAAACGTTTTCAGATTAAACTAATTTACTGAAAGTTCAAGAAGAGTTGCAAAATTATTAATCATATCACAAATTTTCCAACTCCAGCTTACTCATTTACTTTTCTCCGCATGGAAAGCTTGCTGCTGTTTTTTATATTTTACTGCTCAACATTGAGATTATATTTGTATTGATTGCAACTCGTTTTAAAGAGCTGCTTAGAATTGGAATTACTAATAAGTAAAAAGGATAGAAAGCATTGACTTCTCTAATCCAAAATAGCAGACTCTCTAAGGACTGCTCTTGAAGACATCTGCTGTTGCTTCCACAATTTCCTTTTGATAGGATGGGAACATGATTATCTGTAGCAAGCAATATTTCTCCTAAGAACCAATTTGTAAAAAGTGCTAGCCATCCTAACTCACATCTGAAATGCTGGGCTGTTTGTATGTCTTAGATCTGCAGGAATTCTCTACGGAAGAAAGAGATCCAGTGCGTGCTACGGAGGGCTGGGGGGTGATGTTGACCTGCAGCCCACCACCACACTATCCAGGTGAGGAAACAGCAATGCATTAGAAGTGAGACTTTCACTTAAAGTGAACAAAGCATTCATATTTGAGGAATGATATATCAGAAATTGGTGTTAGACCATAACATTTGACCTGCTAGAATGTTAATATTTGGTTGCTGTTATTCATTTGCTGTTGTTTTTATTGACAGTATTGTTGCTTCTTATTGTATGATAATAAAGTCTAAAAAATAAATAATTGTTTTTATTTATTTAAAACCTACCTTGCAATTATACACCAGCAACATGTTATACTTATTCTTTAGAATTTGTTCCTGTTTCAGAATAATTTGGGCCTAATTAGCAGTGTAGAGCAGTGTTGCCAAATATTAATAGAAGTTTTATTTATTTATTTATTTTATTTATTTCATCAAGCATGTATTAGATAACATATATAAGTATAAACATGATTTTGGACACATGAAATGGATACGAATAAAAAGAAATATTAGGACAGGGATGGTAGGCACATTGGTGCGCTTATACATGCCTCTTACAGACCTCTTAGGAATGGGGTGAGGTCGACAGTAGACAGTCTAAGGTGAAAGTTTTGGGGGTTTGGGGAAGAAACCACAGAGTCAGGTAGTGCATTTCAGGCGCTGACCACTCTGTTGTTGAAGTCATATTTTTGGCAGTCAAGTTTGGAGTGGTTTACCTTAAGCTTGTATCTATTGTATGCTCTTCTATTGTTGTGGTTGAAGCTGAAGTAGTCATTGACAGGAAGGGCATTGTAGTGGATAATTTTATGTACTACGCTTAGGTCAGACCAAAGATGCTGTAGTTCTAAATTGTCTAAACCCAAAATTTCAAATCTGGTGGCATAAGGTATTTTGTTGCGAGCATTGGAGAGGAGGACTCTTCTCGTGAAATATCTCTGGACTCACTCAATTGTATTAATGTCCGATATGCAGTGCAGGTTCCAGACAGATGAGCTGTATTCGAGAATTGGTCTAGCAAATGTTTTGTATGCTCTACTTAGCAGTATAATATTACCAGAGAAGAAACTACTCAAGATTAAGTTAACAACTATTAATGCCTTTTTGACAATGTTATTACAGTTGCCTCTGGCACTTAGATCATTAATATGAGTACTCCATCCTTGTAGTTAAAGTTAAAGTTGCTACACTTTCTGTTAAGTACAGACAATTACAGTGAGAAAGGCTTTGAGAAGTTATAAAATTTTCAAATTATTACAGACCTCATCCCCATAGTTCCTAGTTCTTCAGTGAAGTCTGAAATTCTTCCTGAAAAACAGGAATTGGATGCTAATTGCTGCTGCAAGTTTCATGTCAAAACTTAGAGTTTTGGTATAGTTAGAAATTGTATTTATTATTGCCAGTGACGTGCAGTCACTAGAGGCAGGGGAGGTGAGGCCTCACCAGTCTCAGGAAGAAAAGGAAAGAATTTTTTTAAATAATTAAAAAGGCCAGGGTAGTTGCTCCCAGACTCCAAGTCACAGTGACTCTGAGTCTGCTTAGTG